CTTGAATTATAATCATAATGCTTCTTATTAAAATCCAATACAATAGTTTAATGGCGAAAATTTAATGATCGATCTTGACATCTTGTTTGAATTAGTCATCATATATATATATATGTTTCCGTTATTAATTAGAAATTCAAGAACCGTTCAAAGAGTCATATATCTTTCTTGAAGATAAATATTGATATGAATAACGTATTTATGATGACTATAAAAGTGTTATTCAACATGAATCATACATTTATTATGAATAACACGTTTATATTCCTAATAAATATGTCACATAGTCTGTTGTAAACGGGTCTCAAGTTCTTAATCAATTTTAGGTTACTAATGAAACATGTGTTGTGTATATATATATATACATATATGTGTGTGTATGTATATTCATAGCATTCATTATTTCTGTAAAAGCTTCACACATCTCTTTTGACTCTCATGGCTTCAAACAAAGAGTTGAGCTACGAGATCCCKAATGTTATCCGCGTCTACAAAGATGGAACTRTGGAGAGGCTCATGGTCTCACCTTACGTCTCACCRTCATTACAAGACCCTATCAATGGCATCTCTTCCAAAGATATCGTCATCTCCCCTCACRTATCTGCTCGTCTCTACCTCCCAAAACCCACAAAATCCCAAAAACTYYCCATCTTCGTCTACATCCATGGAGGTGGATTTGTCATCGGATCAGCTTTTACTCTCTTGGAACACAACTATCTCAACACAATTGTTTCCCATATAAACGYACTCRTAATCTCAGTGGAATATAGATTAGCCCCAGAGCATCTTTTACCCACGGCTTATGAAGATTGTTGGACTGCACTTCAATGGGTGGCTTCACATGCAACCAGCCATGGAAGAGATTTGGAAAATCAAGAGTCTTGGTTGGTTGAATTTGGCGATTTTGAAAGACTATATATCGGTGGGGATAGTGCAGGTGGGAATATCGTACATAACATGGCTTTGCAAGCTGGGAGGGAAAGCCTGAATGGTGATGTGAAAATCTTAGGTGGGTTTCTTGGTTGTCCTTATTTTTGGAGTTCATTGTATGGAGTTGAGGGTTTGCCTTATGGGTGTTGGATGATGGCACATCCACAGGCCGAGGGCGGGATCGATAGTCCGATGATCAATCCATTCGTTGGTGGTGGGCGGGGATTTGCAGCGGAATATGGTGTTAAGAAGTTGTTGGTGGTGGCGACGGAGAAGGATGAGTTGAGGGAAATTGATATAAAATACTTTGAGGGTGTTAAAGAAAGCGAGTGGGATGGTGAAGTGGAGTTTGTGGAGATTGAAGGGGAGAATCACTGCTTTTATGTTCTTGATAGTACTACAGAGAAGGCTAAGATTGTGATGGAACGGTTGGCATCTTTCATTGTTTGAGATGATTGTTTCTAGAATCAGATCAAATTAATCATGTATTAAGAATGTAAAAGAATAAGTCTGAACGTTGATTGTGTGAGTAAGGAATTAATATTAAATGTCTATGAAAGTTATTCGGTCGGTTTATTTGGTTTTTAACTTTTTTCTAAGCTATCATGTAATTAAACCAAATAAGGTTTGTTTAATTGGTTATGATTTATTTGATTGGTTTCAGGTTATTGAGTTTGGTTATCGAATAAACCGAATAAGAGCTTTTATTTTAATAAGGTTTTAAAGAAGAAAAACATTCTGTTTTGTTTCTTTTTAAACTCGTAGAAGGTTTACATATTTATGATCGGAACACTGTTCCAATACGTATAAAGAAAAATATATGTGTAAAGGCAAGTGAAACTGTATCTTTTTTATTTTTTTTGCATGTTTCACTAAAACATTATTTTCATTCTCGTTTACATACACAACCTCTAACCTAATTCAACTTGGAGATGCTTGGAATTGCTTATAAAAACAACTTATTGACTTATTCCGGTGTGACACCGGTAATAAACACTTTTGAGTGTTTGGATAAACAACTTATACTGGTAACAAGAAGTTTTTGAAGAAGTTACAATATTCTAACTTGTAATAAGTTGATAAGAACTTTTGTATAAAAACATAAGTTGTTTCAAATAAGCAATCTCAAACACCCCCTTATAATATTTTTTATCATATACATCAACCTCTAACCTTTTATTGTTTTACACTAACCCAAGTAACTAGGCTTTGTTACCTTACAATTTGGGTCGTTCCAATCTTTTTGGAGGCACTCTTACTGTTACACTTGTATCAAGACAAATATAAAAGTGTACATCATATAATATATTATAGTTCATATCAATTAAAACAACAAAATATCTTAAAATACAAATTAACTTAAAAAGAATAATTCTTTTAACATTGTTCGATACAAAATCTTTAATCAGTTATTCATAATCAATTTTCTCCAATAAGTAGTTTGATTGAAAGATTGGTATATAGGACTTTACTGATTGTTGTTTACCTCGTGTTTTTTAAGAAATCGTAGCTCTCAACTTCTCAGTGTGTTATTGAAAGGCTATAATGCTATGAACAATGATGATTAGTATAACGGTGAAGGAAGTCAACAAAATTGCAGTATAGGTTGCTCGTGGGAAAAGAATGAGATGAAACATAGAACAAGAAAGAAGGAGACTATTAAACAAGATCGTGCTTAGTGTTTCAATCAAAAAAATTAGTCATAGGGAAAACAAACATTAAAGGGACTAGCTGACTAGAACACTCAATATTCAAAATAGAGACCTAAGGAGAAGGAATTGCAATCTACAAATGGTGTTAGTCTGAATAATATATATGACCTCTTTATCCTAGACTTGGGAAAAAGCAGCGACTTCTACCCATTTTGAAAAATAATCTGTAGGAACTAATAGGAATACCTTTTGCCCAGGTGTCAAGGGTAATTTTCCCATGATATACATGCCTCATCGCATGAATAGCCATGTAGTTAATGAAGAATGAAGTTATTCAGAGGGTTTATGGATCATACTTGAGTTTTGTTGATAGGCGTCACAACTTTGAACAGGTAAAATAGCGTCATGTCGTAAAATAGCGTCATGTCGTAAGGTAGACCAGTAGTAACCTTGTCATAAGAATCGGTTGGCCAAACTTTGACCACTAAAGTGATTTCCACACTCTCCCTTGTGCATGTGTTTCAAAATGTTTTGTGTTTATCGTCCAAACATACATCTTAGATTCAGACCCGTTGAAGATCGCCTATATAATACAACTAAGATCATGGTATATCTTGATGCTTTGATTTGAAGTTCTCATGATTCAATTCGTTCATGAGGTAATTAGTCGTGGATAAGATAGTTCTTAATCTCTTTTGACCATTCACTTTTCTCGTTAATGACGAGTGGTTATTAGTTATCGTCGATAGAAGGTGACATAAGGTGTACCAATAGTACCATGTCAAATGATGATCTTCTTAGGGTAGAGCCCAAGTTAGCCATAACATCTCTTTGCATTGATCCCTAGGGATCTGCTATATGCAAAATAGGTCGAAGGTCATCGACTTTTCTCCTGCTATCTTCAAATAGGTTGTCATTTTGGAGTTTTTGGTTATGAATTCCCCTATAATTTGATTGATGACTAAAGGGAATCACTTCGGAATTTAAGTTCTGTCATTCCAAGGTCTTTGGCTAGGTTCATACCAGCAATCAAAGCTTCATACTCGACTTTATTGTTTGTGGTGTTAAAGTCGCAACAGATAGAATATATCGTCATGCCCTTATGGTGACTTTAAGTTAATACCAAACCCTGTCCCCTGGAAATTGGACAATCTATCGACATAGAGAACCCAGATATTGGTGTCAGTTGTCGCCACTAGGAGTTCATCGTTGTTGAATTCGTTGGTTAGTTCATGACTGAAAGCGGCAATGAAATATGCTAGAGCTTGTGATATCTAATGTCGTAGTTGTTGTGGTATATACTTCATTTTGCTAGTAGACCAGTTAACTCAGGTTTTCTGGAGATAGATTTCAATGGATAATTAGTAACAACAGTGGTAAGATAACTCTCAAAATATTGTCTTAGTTTCTTTGCCACAGTTATTAGCAACAAGGGTAACTTTTCCATCGACGAATAATGTTGGGTTCAATGGTGTGTGTTAATGTTGTATTCAAGCTAGTTTCTCTCATTTTATAATTGTATTTGTCTTATATGTTTCCGTAGTATAAATAAGTAGTGCCTTGTAATTTGTAATTAAGAATTTTCATTAGAGAGCTAAACGTCATTAGTGAGAGAGTTGTTGTAATCATTGAAGAAATCAATACAAAATCATTTGGGTTAAAATTCTCTCTACTTTGTTCATTTTATTCTTACAAGATTTATCTGATTTGGTGATATTTTAGGACAATCAACTGGTATCAGAGCTATCTGCAGCGATTTGGTTAAAGAAATTGTTGCACAAATTTCGAGAAATTTGCACAGAATTCTGGATTTTTTGCAATCTGATCGGACTGTGTTCTTGGATATTCATCATCTGTTCTTGAGCATTCATCTACTTTTTCATAAATTTCATCTCAACTTCCTTATATCTTGTTGTTTGATTGTTAAGAACTTGATCACTGTGTGCGATTTGATATCCTGAATCATTGTTGTTCATATAATTTTGTGATTTGATCATTGTTTTTGAAGATTTGAAGGATTTTTGGAGTTTACGAAAACTTTTTATTCCTGCAAAGTTCGTAAAATTTTGAGTTTTTTATCCATTTTTGTTTGAATCATCAAGAAAATTTGTGTTTTTGGTTGAAGAATCCGGTTATAGTATTGACCATGTTTGGTATAATCCGTTTAAAGCATTGTCCGTATTTGACTTTGTGTGGTTTGTGATTCCAAGTGCATTTGATATCCGTTCAACTCATTAATCGTATTGTTTGTGAATCCGGTTGTCTCTTTGATCGGATTAATAGTTATCCTGTAGAAACCTTGTCCGTATTTCTTTAAATTTGATCGACTCTTTGTCCGTATTGTGTGATATCCAATTATTTCATTGTCCGGATTGGATAGTGATTTTGCTTAAGTGTTTTGGTTGCTATCCGTATATTGTTTGTTAATCGGATTACTTGTTATCTGGATTAAGTGTTGATTATTTTGATATCTTTGTTGACCGTATTGCATTTTGATCGATTTGTTGACTTGTTCTCCGTATTGCTTTATTGACCGGATTGTGCTTTGACCGTTTTCAAGTGTTGACCGATTTGTGTGTTGATTGTATTCATTTGTTGACCGTATTTGATTACTTGATTGAATTTTTGTTTTCTTAAGTGTCCGAAGACATTGTCCGGATACATCTTTGTCTGTATTCAAACTTAGTCTTAATTGTTCCTTGTTGTTCGGACAAATTATTCCTTGTTGTTCGGACTCTCAATCCGGATAGACTTGTTCGGATTCCCAATCCGGATAAGCTTGGAATTTTGTGAATTTTTGCTAAGCGTTGAATATTTGAATGCTTAAGAAATTTGTGTGTGATTTTTGAAACATTATTGGATATTAATTCTTTTAATCAAAATCTTGAACTACAAAGATCCCCCAATTTTTATACTGATCAAAGTTCGTACATTCCCCTACCTCATAGCACCAAGTGGACCAAAGATCATCCAATATATCAAATTATTGGTGATCCAAATGCTTCTATTCGTACTAGGTCTGTTTCTGCCAATGAGTGTTTATACTCCACTTTCTTGAGCAATATTGAACCGTCTAAGGTTTCTGAAGCCTTAGCAGACCCGGATTGGATAATCGCAATGCAAGAGAAGCTGAATCAGTTTGAAGTTTTAAAGGTATGGAGATTGGTTTCTCGTCCCAAAAAATAAAACGATTATCGGTATTAAGTGGGTTTTCAAAAATAAGAAAGATGAAGATGAAGTTCTCGTCAGAAATAAGGCTCGGCTTGTCTCTAAATGATACAATCAACAAGAAGGCGTTGACTACGATGAAACATTTTCTCCGGTTGCACGGATCGAAGCAATCAAGATGTTCTTTGTGACACCCCAAAATGAGGTAAATAATAAATTATAAAGCAAAAAGAACAAGAAAAATAAAATAAAATGAGTTTTATTTTATTGGAAAAAAAATATAAATATATTTGAAAATTAGATTAAAAGTGAAGGAAAATGTCATATTATGGGTGAAGTGTGTAAAGATGTCAAAAGTAATAGAGCCAGGGGGCCGAATGCATTTTTATAATAGTTAAGGGTTAGGTCAGATGTTAACAGGTCCAAACCAGAAGGACCTGTTTTGTAAATATACATAAGATCTGCAAATTCAGAAACGCGAAAACAACCTCTCCTTTAAAGCTTTATATCAGTTTGAATTTTCAACTATTAAGACAAAAAAAAGAACAGATATATGTAGCCAATACTTTGCTCTACACTTTTGCTTCAAGAAAACCGAAGTTTCATCGAGTTTCGAAAGATTAATCGGAGGTTGAAGTTCGAGTTCGAAAAGACAAAAAAAATTCACAATCCTTCTTTTTTATGAGAAAACTTTATCAGTAAACTTTTATAAGGATGATCTTCACATTCAAAAAATCTCAAACATTGTAGCACAGGAATAATCTTCTG